ACTTATCAAAGATCTGGAGAATCACACAGTGCAGAGTAAATTGGCCCACTTAACTCCCCATAAAGACACCAAGTATTCACTTTGGTGCGCAACAAAGAAATTGAAACGACCGGATATCCATGTTCCACCATTAAGGAAACAGGACAGGGACTGGGCTAGATCCGATCTAGAAAAAGCAACAGTATTTGCTGAATATCTTCAGAGTGTCTTCAAACCTTTCCCCAGTAATAACCCAGAAACTGATAAAGAAATTATAACCTACTTAAAATCTCCTTACCAGCTTTGTGCACCTATTAAACCAGTAAGTCCTAAAGAGATAGATAAGATGATTATGGCTCTGAAATCTGGAAAAGCCCCTGGATATGACCTTATAGACTCCACGCTGATGAAAAACCTGCCGAGAAAAGGAATAATCTACTTAGTAAACATTTTTAATGCCTGCCTGAGGCTCTCATATTATCCAAGCCAGTGGAAGATTGCTCAAGTTGTTATGATCCCTAAACCTGGCAAACCTGTAGAGGAAGTGTCGTCATACCGACCAATTAGTCTTCTCCCTCTTCTCAGTAAGATCTTTGAAAGGATTATCATCAATCGTCTCAATCCACACCTAGATAGAGTACTTCCAGAACATCAATTTGGTTTTCGACATAGCCATGGTACCGTCGAGCAAGTACACAGATTGGCAGATACTATCGGTCATACAATTGAAACCAAGCAATATTGTTCGGCTGCATTCCTGGATATTAGTCAGGCCTTTGACAAGGTCTGGCAAGAGGGTCTACTGTACAAAATCAAGAAGTCTCTGCCACACTCCTTTTTTCCAATACTTGAGAGTTACCTAAGCAAAAGATGTTATGAAGTCAAGTTCAACGGTGAGACATCAGAATTGTACGAAATACAATCAGGAGTCCCACAGGGCAGCATACTAGGGCCTGTTTTGTATCTTCTGTTTACTGCAGATGTACCCACTCACGCACATACCACCATGGCCACCTATGCGGATGACACTGCAATTCTGGCAGTGGATAAGGATCCAGATATCGCTTCGGAAACCCTGCAAAATCACCTTAATGAAGTTGAAACATGGCTGAAACAATGGAGAATAAAGGCTAATCAAACCAAGTCAGTCCATGTCACTTTTACCTTAAGAAAAGGAAACTGCCCTCCTGTTCTACTTAATGGCGAACAAATACCGCAAGACGAAACTGCTAAATATCTTGGCATGCATCTCGACAGAAGATTAACTTGGAGAAAACACATCTGGACCAAAAGAAAACAGCTTGACACAACTCTTCGAAATATGTACTGGTTGATCGGTAAAAACTCAAAACTATCGAATGAAAGTAAAATGGCAGTATACAAGGCTATCCTGAAACCGATCTGGGCATACGGTATTGAGCTCTGGGGAACAGCAAGTACCAGCAATATAGAAATTCTGGAAAGGTTTCAAATGAAGGCAATGAGATGCATGTACAATATACCCAAAAGCATTAGCAACAAATACATTTTACAAGACCTAAGGCTAAAAACTGTTAGAGAGGAAATTTCTCAGAGAGGCTCAAACTATCAGAAAAAGCTATCTAAGCATGTCAATGCCCTTGCTTCTAAGTTATCGGGATCTGGAAGTATCCAATTTGCAAGACTGAAGAGGAGCAGTGTCCCTAACCTCATAGACCGATTCAACAGCTAGTAGGAAGGGAAATTCATTGGATACTTCTCTTCAATGCAATATGCCACACTCAGACAATGAGTCAGCCAAGAAAGCTGCTAAATGTTTATAAACAGATTGCTGTGTTGCAGGATATAGAATAGAAAAAAAAAAAAAAAAAAAAAAAAAATATTATAGTACATAATAAAATGGGAAGACAAATAAATAAACTATTAATTAAAGTTACATTAGATATAAGCATTCACTTTATACTCACAGGTAACATATCATAATTTCCATAAAGAAAATCATTTCTATTTGTACTCGTAGTGGACCTCTTGCGGCGCTCACTTCTCTTCTTTTCCAAAAGTTCCTTTTGCAGTGGTGTTATCAAACCAATGAGTCTAAAATATTTTAAATTCCATTATTAAAACAGTACTCTTGAGCACATATTTTTGGGGATTAAACCAAGCCGAGATAATTAATTAGTGTCCATTAGTAAAGCATTTTGAACATGTGTATCACATGTCTTACTTTAAGTCTATTTTTAACTCGATCATCTGCATAACAATAATATGATACTCCATCTGCTAATTTATACACAAATAAGGTTCAACTTCAAAAATAAATACCTTAAGAAAACCTCTTTTGTGACAGGTTCTCCAGGCTCTGGTAGTGGCGGGGGCGAAGGCGTCGGTGACAGAGCCACGCCTTGCGATGAATCTGAGTCAGATTTTTGTTCTTGCCACTCATTATTTTCCTGATGCTTTGGGCCACTATAAACAAAAACATAGTACAATAAAAATATCATTCTTCATAACATACATTTCTAAATGATAATAACTTGTCATATATCATATCATTAACCAAATTAGCTAGAATTAACTAGGATAAGCTTATTATTAGGTAATTATTTATACATTAAATTATTTCTTAATGTTTCTTTTACTTGAATGAGTTGCAAAGATAGCATATCAATTCTGTATAACTTGTAATGATTAGCAATTATTAAAATTTAAAATTAGCATAATCTCACCTAAATGCTTCCTTGACTTTATTTAAGACATTCACAAAATTGTTCCTGCTATCATGAACAGCGTTAGGCAATTGAGCAAAATTCCTTTGATATTTATCTTTCTCATCAACCTCACTGTGATTTGAGTTTTCCTTTTCACTTGACAATTTAGCCTCATTGTCTGTATCAGATATATTATTTTCCTTTGTATCATCACTGTTCTCAGTTTTAATATGTATTTCAGTCAGTACAGATGGTTTTAACAATGACACAGTTCTGTTTCTACTCCGGTGTTGTATCTGGTGGTCCCTCAGTTGCTGAGCCACATATCTGTTATCATTCTCTATACTTATATGCTTATTGCGTGCCTTCAACCTTTGTTGGTACAGCTCAAGTTCCCTTCGTAGGCGGTCCACCACTAATTTCTGTTGCAAAAAAGGTGATGTTAGTAACATTGTTACAAGCAATGATATGATAAAAACCTAAAGGAATCAATGTCATTTTGAATTACAGATTATTGATTGATTCATAATTTTATCATAAAGTAGTTGAATAATATTTATTGATGTTTCATAATTTTGTAACAATTTCAGAAGTAATGGAGTAAGTTTTCTATATTTCTTTTGTGTTTTAGGTGTTTGACCTTAAACTTAACAGATCCAACTATAAAAATTTCATGTCAAACACAATGAGAATTTCATAACTTGCTGTAAATTAACTGTTTGTCTTTAACACAGGACATTTTAATTTCAGAGAGTAAATATATACTAATTTCTTAAGCATATAAACTTTGTGACCAGAATAGTAGATTATTAACCTTGAAAGAAACATAATTTAATTCAGTACTAAACAGACATTATAAATATAGGTATAAATAGTTTCAATAAATAACCCTGCATTGCCTTTATCATAATGTTGTTATGCAATATATTTTTGTAATAGTTATAGTTAATTATGTTAGAAATCTAGATATAAATCCATATAACTTATAGTTTTGTCTACATTTAAACTCAGATAAACTTCTGGCAACTGAATAAAAAACAATAAAATGGATTATAGTAACAAGACCACAACATCGACACGCAAACTCTCGCTTTTAAAATAAAGTATCACAAATCAAACAAATTATACAAACAAACAATATAAATAACTTACTTGAGTTTGAGAAATAGAAATTATATCTTTCTCCGCTTCTTTCACCTTAGACCTGAGATGAATGTTCTGTGAACAAAGTAAAATAATTTAATGCAAAGAATTTGTCTCAGATATTTATAGCTAAGAAAACAATGAATCTTTCTTACGTTTTCATCTTCTTGAAGGCGCGCAACCCAAACCTGAAAAAGTGTTTAATTATTAAATAATATAACTTTCCACTAAGAAAAAACATTAAAAAGTAATTCACAATCACTAGACCAACCTGATGAATTCGTATCGCATTTTTCAAGTCCGACTGCGTTTTGCGAATATCTTCCTTAATTTCATTAGACACTTCCATTCTTTTATTTTACTTAGTAATCTAAATATAATAATTCATTTAACAGTTTATATTTGTATAATGTTTCAACTTTTATTGAAATTTAAAACAAAAACTACCGATATGTTCACGAAGAAACAACTCTTGTTTCGTAGTTCACACAAGGATGTATGAATCGCGAAATTAACTAACAAGCTTTCACAAACTTTATTACGTGCCGAATGTTCAGAAAATAATAAAATACAATTAATTTAAAGTAAAATAAAATTATTTTCATAGTTTAATTATGTGCCAAATAGGACTAAAATAAATTGCACTATAACTTTAGTCAACGAAGTGAGTTGAATTGAAATAATTACATACACACACATAGCAAAATTTGTTGCACACATACATATGTTTCATCGCACTCATAAGTACTCTTCCGGAAATTGTCATTTGACATAAGGACTGAAAATTCTCTATTACACGAACCAGATTCTACATTTTAAAAAGTTTAAAAGTATAGTGAATTTTTATACTTTGTAAAAAATTAAATCGAACCGAATTAAAACTGTGGGAAATATAGAATTACCTATTTCTCACTTACTATTACCCAATCTAATGCATTAATTCGTAAGCGTCTATTATACAAAACGCCAGTAACATAGTAAAAATCTGAATGTACCACTTAAATACAACATAATTAACCATAAGCAGTAGTTAATATTATTTTACAATATAAATCAACCAATAAACCAACGGAAATTATAGTATACGAGTTCTTTACGAGTTTACGATAACAAAAACAAAACTGCAATGTTGCCACACTTGCCACCTTTGATACATTCTCTATACCAATCTGTAAGAATCATTCATCATTCATTTCATTCGTCATTCAATCAAATCAATGTCGCCGATATCGTAGTCCCGGTATGTGGAAAAGTTGAAAATTGAAATAGGTTTTGTGTGGATATAACAATTAGTAAATATAATCATTCGAAAAGAAACATATACTACCTTTCAACTTATCAAGTTCTAAGTAAAATTGCCAAGACGCTAATCTAGTATTACATTAAGAAACGACATGTTCATCTTACAATTTTCGCAGCAGTGATTGGCGCCACACGACAAAACGTATTTATACGAACGTATAAAATTCAAGAGAATTGAAAATGTCTGTTAAACGACAAGCGACTACTGAATTAAATCATGACAATTGGGATCAGGATGATCCTGCAGACCATGAAGAAATGGGAACGTTTAAAGTAGCTACTAAGGATCAGCTTGAAAAACGTGTTATCAGAACTGCAAAAAGACGAAGTACCCAACTCGGTGGAGACGAGGTAAACCTACACATTTTTGCTGAAAGTTTATTGTTAGGTGCTGTATATACTACCCAGGGAATTCATTAGTGTACCTACTGATAATAACAAGAACAATCTCAAGTTCATCCAATCACCTATTTGTACTGGGTCCTACCTTACAAGCACTAGCGTCCTGCTACTGTTTCTTATTAAGTATTGATTAACTTAGTACTGATTAAGTATTTTTTGTCCTTATCAGTATGAAATTATGATAAATTTAGGTTTAAACTGTCAAACACCAAGCGGTCACCGGTGACCGCAACCTATTGTTCTATAATTGTGTCTATAATGACGGTACTCGACGAGTTAATTTGTGGTGAAATCTACTCTAATCCCCATACTGCTATATTAATTGATGTAGTGTCTTGGGCTCTCAAGTGCTGAGAAATTCTGTGTTGGGTTCTTAAAGGTTAATATTAAATTGCCTATATTAATCTTTACCTCAAAATTTCCATTTCATTTCTGACCCTCACCATTATAAAACAAATGAAAAACATGTTTCTGTAGAAGCAATGTACCAAATGCTTGCTTGGAGACTCTATTTTAATAAGTATGCACAAATAATCATTCCATCAGTTGCTTTACATTGTTCATTGATGATGATTAATTTACTTATCTATGAAACCAGATAAATCTTATCAGTAATTTAATTTCTGTATATTTCATTTGAATGTTTAGCATTTTTCTGTAAAATTTTACTAAACAAAATTCATATTAAATATAGATCTAATTCTGTAGGTATATTATAATATATAATGTTCATTATAATGTTCTACATGTTCACTGACTCCCATCATTGAAAGAATTTATATGACTTGCTAAAATCTGTTGTAACCTATAATTATAATTGGATTGATGAAGTTTAAAGTAATCATATGATTTTTTTATTATCAGCCCAACATTTGAGTAAATGAAGTTCAGTTACTCAAAAGTAATAAAATGTGGGCTGTATCTTTTCTGCTTGACAGGGTCCAATTATATCATTGTAAAAACCAGTTTTATTTCTATTTTTCAGCCCAAGAAAAGTGTCTTCAGTGGATTCAGCGGCTTCAACAAAGCACAACCATCATCATTTGAATTTTTGTCCAAATTGACCAGTAATGGCCAGAATGGCAATAATGACAGCAGCAGTGCAGCCAGTAAAGCAGATTCTTCAGTGACATCCAGTTTATTTTCAAGTAAACCTCTTGCCAGTCCAAGCAGTGGTATATTTGGCAATCAATCAAACGCTACTCCTAGCAAATCTCCGTTTGGATCACCTGCAACACAGACAGGCTCAAGTTCTTTATTTGGAATACCTTCTCAAAATACCAGTTCATCTACATTTATTACATCTAAAGCAGATTCAACTGTCAAAGATTCCCCATTTAAAATTCAAACTGTTACTAGTTCCACAGATAATTCTGACGCCACAACACCAACTTTAACCAAAACATCAAATTTATCTGTTACTACCATGAAATTTGACATTCCATCTAGCAGTGCTAATGTAACAAAATCGTTATTCTCTAACACACCCAATTCTTCTTCACCCTTTAAAATTCAAACAACATCAAATGCTACTTCTGCTACTACTACAACAAAGAACACTTTTGGCATATCATCAAAACCAGATTTAAATTCAATTCAATCAGAAAAAAAAGCAGATGATACTAAGAATGATAAGAAAATGAAATATTATTCAAAATTAAAAGGCTTAAATGAATCTGTATCTGAATGGATAAACAAGCATGTGGTACAAACTCCACTCTGCATACTTACACCTATATTTAAGGATTATGAAAAGTATTTAAAAGAAATTGAAGATGAATACAAAGGTTCGGATGAAGAAGTGAATAAAAATTCAATTGCTGAAAATAAATCACTCTTTGGTAGTGATGTTAAAAAACCGTCAATTTTTGGTTTGCCCCCCAAATCGGATGCAGTTCCTGTTTTAACAACTCAAAGCAATTCATCACCAGAAAAACAGAGCTCATTCTCCTTTGGTATTGGATCAAATACTAATACTTCAAGTACAATCACAACCAGCTCTGCAGGATTTTCTTTTGGAGCTATTACATCAAGCACAGCTAGTGCTGCTCCCTCTCCCTTCTCATTTGCCACATCTACAAGCACAACTGCAGCCAATGGAACTGCTGCACCATTTTCATTTGGAATTGGAAAGCCTTTTAGTTTTAATTCTAATATTAAACAAAGCACGGAGACTACTGTAGAAGCCAATGAAGAAGATGACACACCACCTAAAGTTGAATTTACACCTGTTGTAGAAGAGAATTCGGTTTATGATAAACGTTGTAAAATTTTTGTTAAAAAAGATGGTAACTTTGTTGACAAAGGTGTTGGCACTCTGTACATCAAGAAAATTGAGGAAAGCGGGAAACACCAGCTTCTTGTCAGAGCTAATACTAACCTGGGAACCATTTTAATTAATTTGATATTGGTGTCTGCTATTCCTACACAACGTATGGGCAAAAATAATGTCATGTTGGTATGCATACCCACTCCAGAATCTAAGCCTCCTCCAACACCAATCTTAATCCGAGTGAAGACTTCAGAAGAAGCTGATGAACTACTACAAACTTTAGACAAATATAAAAAATGATTTTGTATTATACTGATCTAAATCTACTGAAAATACTTTTTCTGTATGTTCTACCTATGGTTAATTATTATATTGTTTAAATGAGTAGCAAGTCTAGAATAGCAAATTTTATTCAGATTATGTTTTCCTTTTTTAATTTATAAATATTTTTCTACATGCTATTTTTAACACTGAATCCATATTATATTTAATCCAAGGTTGTATTGATATTGATTGATAAAAAAAACAGATATTCGTATCGTCATGTAAACTTTTTTAATTCAATTAATCCCGGAAATGTAAAATACATTACAGTTGTTAAATATTATATTTGAGATTTATTGCAATTAGTTTTAGAATCCATAATGACATGGCCAACTACCCAAGTATGTAGCACAACTTACAAATACCTGTAAAGTCAAGCATATTATTAGCTACCTAATGTTATATGCGACAGTTAGCGTTTGTTACTCGAATCACGTGTAAGCGGCTGAAGAGATTGAGATGTTTGAAACAGGTGTAGATTATGTTCTGAATTATCACATAAGCTGCTTTTTATCCCACAGGACCGTAGGCGAAGCAGCTGGCAGAAGCTAGTTAGGTATTTAAAAAGGTTTTGGATTGTTGTAAGTATAGGTACCTTACCTAACTATTACCTAGAGATAATGGTCTTAATCTGGAGTCGAAATTAAGACGAGTGCCCTCAGTCCGAATTACAATGCGAAAAATAGGTACCGTAAAATGGGGTGAATAGGGATCGAGAGGTGAAAAGGGGCGAATCGATACTATGAAGAATTTCCTTTATATCTCTATTCACCCCTCTTGTCCCTTTTCGCCGCTCAATTCACCCCATTTTACCGTTAGCAACTTATTCAAAAACTCAAGTCACTTCTGGTGTGAAGTCGATGAAAATTCATACCTACTGAATTTACCATTATTATGATTAGATACTTAGATCAAAGGGCAAGTTATTGAAAGCAGTTAGGTACATGCTTTAACATACTCAAGGTACCAACTATCAGGACCAAGAAGGGGGTCCGTGAGTGAGGGCCGGTAATTCATTTAAACTGTCAAACCCCAAGCGGTCACCGGTGACCGCAACCTATTGTTCTATAATTGTGTCTACAAAACCGGTACTCGACGAGTTAATGAATAAATAAAACTGAAAACTCATCATCACTATCAACAGCCTTGAAGTGGCCACTGCTGACCAAAGGCCTCTTCTCGCACAAACCGGTGACCGCAACCTATTGTTCTATAATTGTGTCTACAAAACCGGTACTCGACGAGTTAATGAATAAATAAAACCGTACATCATTTTAATAAAACTTATATTTTATTTATAGCCTATTATACATTTTTAAATACAGCAGTATTCATGGCACTGAGCAATTACATCAAGCCCATGTAACCAATTCGTAATAATTTCTAGGATTATAAGCATTTTTCTTACAAAATGATTTGTTTATTATACAATTTTCCCAATAAAATTACACCAAAAAATTTAATCATGCTTATGACTATGCACCATTTTTGTTGCAAGACAAGTTATACTTTTAAATCAAAATTCATTAAGCATCCAGCAAATAAAGTCATAAATTTAATTTAATTATTGCACAACTAAGTACCAGCAACAAAACTGTTAGTGGTCATTTGGCCTAATCCCATTTGAATTCTATGCATATGAATTTCTACATTATTTTGAAATAATTTTTGATGATGTGGTTCCAATTTCATTTTTATTTGTTCCATTGTACCTTGCAAAACACTTAATTCATATGCATTTTGATCAGAATCTGACAGGCTTTTAACTTGAAGCATTAAAGCGATAAGGTCGGTGATAAGGTCAATTAAGTTGGCGTCTTTAACTGATCCATTATTATTTTTTTCTACTAACAAAGATGCCTTTTCTCGGCATATTTCTCTCAGATGTGAAGGCACTAACATTGCAGCTAGACTAGGCTCTGGGGCTATTTGTTGGCAGTATTGTTGAACATCATTAATATAATCTTGTAAATCCATATTCATTCTTTCCAAGTCTATTACAACTGAAGCATATTTTCTTTCAAAATCTTCAGGCATCTTTTGGCCAAATGATTTTATTTTCTCAGCATCACTATTGTACTCCTTGAGTAATTTTATTTTATGCCGTTTAGCATTTAATATTCTTCTTAGTTTTACAATTAGCTCTAGAAGTGCATATGGGTAACTGCCTATAGTGTCTATTTGTTTTGCTATATCTGAACAACCAATAAGAGGATCACCTTGTGCGTTGTTGTTTGTAGGTTCATACAAGCTAAATATATCTTGCAGAACAAACCGTGGACGAAACTTCTTTGTTATACTAGAAAGACTTATAGTATCAGGAGGTTCATTGGATAGAACTTCATAATCTGGTACTGAATGTGTGCCAAGTCTTGGTCGTTCAAATGTTATCCTGTATGTATTATTAGATGTGTCTACTGCATCTATACATCCTGTGAATAAGCCATCTTGTGGTTTACGCAATCTTGCTGTTACTTTAGTCCCAACTACTAATTGCATTGGTATTTCATTTGGTAAATCTTTAACACTAATGTCAGCCGCTTTCCTTTGTTGTATAAATCTTATTAATTTGCGTTTTCTTTCCAATTCCCTACGCTCTTCATCAAAGAATGCCTGGGAACATCTACGAGGTTTACCCATCATTCTTCGAATTTTAGACCATTGCACTTGTGTTAACTTACGGTTAGTAAGTTGTGGAAATGATTCTCTCAAACAAATCATAAAATCATTTTCTCCATCAAATAAAACTTTGTCAATGTTACTGTAGAAGTACTCAAAACAAACCCATTTATGGGCTTTTGGTAACTTTAACAAGTTCCTTAACCTCATTCCAATTCTGTGCCCAGATCTGGTGTCAGGAGATTGTGTTCCAGTAGGTTCAGCCTTTTCATCATATTTATCATTTGATCTTTGAACTTTTGTAGGTGACTTCTGTTTCTTAGCACTTGATTGTTTGTTGGGAGTTTTAGCTATGATTTTAGGTGTCCGTTTTGGTGATTGACGTGGTGGTGAAGTATTAACAAAATCGTCAACGAATATAAATCTATTTTTCTTCCTTATTCGAGCTGGCATACCGCGAGCGTTAAGCTTTTGCACAGGTTCACTTGGTGCTGGTTTTGGCGGTAACTTAGTGCCAACTCTATGAAGGCCAAGCGCAGCAGGGCCAAAAGCTGGCGGTTCTTCCTCTTCCTCCGGAAAATCCATATCCATTGGTTCATCCTTAACTCTATACTGTGATCGGGGCGAAAAATCGTCCCCATCAGGATCTCCTAAACAAAAGTAACACAATCAGTATATCACACACAATCAAAGAAACTTATCGAATAGTTTTATACATAAACAAAGGTTCACTAGAGAATATTCGTAGATCAAAGCAAGTAAGATACTATAATTATTACTTCCAAGGATAAAGTGATTGACATTTCGGCTGGAAATTTGAATTTTTTCAAATTTTGAATCTAGCGAACCACATTTCAATTTCAGCTCCAGAGGAGAACACATTTTAAAAATCTTACACAAACACTGGTACGTATGCATTTAAAAAAAGCATTTATTTCAACAATGTATTATTCATCGAAATATTCAAATATTTAAATAAATTACATTATAAACAAAACTTACTTTCTGATTTATCCGCCATGTTGATGTAGTAAATTTGATTTGATTTGAAGTTATTTTGAAGATGAGAGCGCCAAGAACAAAATAAGTTCGGATACACCACTAGGAAGTATAACAGAATACAGCGGGCAAAGAACTGGTATTGATTTATTATTAAAAAAACATAAACCTGTTTAAATTTACGTTTCTACCTATTTACGTTTTTTAGTATATGTATATTTCAGAAATGATATTTTTTTTTTCAGGTTAATATTATCGTGACCGAAGTTTCGTCCCTATCTATGGTACTGTATTAGTGGCAGTGACAGAGAAAGCAAGTTTATAGGGTAAAAAAAGAAATAAATTCTATTTCCACAGTATTGTCTCATAGAAATAAACTTTAACATTAAGTACCCAAAAAAATATATGATTTTAAACGTTTAAAACAAAAAGAAATTTTCAATTGGTTCATACCTGTTTAGCTCTTGCCTTGTGCTGCACCTTGTGAATTAAACTAGGAGTGCGAGCGGGCCCATACGGACCAGGGTTAATGTATCGTGTTGGTGCTGTATAATATAAATTGATTCATACAAAATGTATGTAACATTTAGGGACGATTCTCATTAGCATTCGTAGGCAGGCCGTACCTGGGGCAGTTCGTAGATGTGGCCCGAATTTAATCTGTTACTGTTTTAAATGAATCAATTTATAGTATTTTACAGTATTATAACCATACCCGGTTTGGGCCCATTCAACGCACGTCTAGACCACGTTTGATTCACTGTTCTTGCAAAATATATGTAACAAATTAAATTCCACGTCCAAGTCCATGGTCGGGCCCTGGGCACAGCCCGCTCTGAATCATTTAAAATTCGTACCCCGTCCGGGCCACGTATCGGCCGTACCCTGGCCCGCTTTATTTTTAATGAAATTCGTCCCCTTATAGATTTTGATTTATAATTTTTTTTTTCAGGGTAAAATGTTGACATATAAGACAATAATAAAAATAATGGCTCTTTGTGAAATTATTCTAAATAGTTCAGCTGCAAACACATCTTACTTTGAAGTTACAGCTTGTTATAACAAGACTTTACCACGTAATATAAATAAACCGAGAGTAGTAGATGTTACTATTGGATCAGTAGTCCATCTTTGGTGCCATTATTGGTGAATATTTTTTCTTTATTTTTTTGTGTGAAAATTACCTCTAAAGGTATGGAATAAGACGGATTAAACAATCAGCGTTACCCACGTAGAATCGCAATAATAGAGAAATTACAAGTGCAGTGCCGACCTCTTAGGGATTTGGACCTCCGATAACCTCACACATTCTCATTTAAAGGGTTTGGGTGTCCATGAGAGGCCATGATCGCTTACCATCAGGTGATCCGCTTACTCGTTTGTCTCCTATTCTATAAAAAAATAGGTATGGTATGTTTAGGTATGACGTATTTCTACATTTTATGTTACGGATCAACATTTATTAAAAATTTTCAGTGACAGTAATGGGAATTATTATCCGAAATGGTGGTTTTACAAACCAAGAGGAGAAGAAAATCAAAAAGATTTACTGAGAGAAATTTTAATGCGTGATTTATCTGACAAGGTGTCAATAACTCCAACTCACAAATTAAATATTTATGATTTTAATTTAAATAATTCCGGAATTTATACGTGTAAATGTTCAAGTATATTAAAAAAAGATAATGTTTTTTTATATATTCTTGAAGATAAGTATATCTTGTTTGTACCTACCTACCATTAATATCATTGCCATCTCTATCGATTCCGATTCGAAATATCTTAATAATTTATTTTGATGTAAATTTACTTATCTGCTATAAAATTTATGATTTTATTTATCTAACAGGTATCATAGAAGTTGATGTTGCTTCCAAAGTTGGAACATCTAGTCAGTGGCATGAATACAAAAAAGCTTATCTTTTTCCTATAAATAAGAAATTAAAAGAATCCAAAGAAGAACCTTTTAGGTCCATACGAAATGTTTTTAATAAAACTTTTAAATTGGCAACTGTTTGGGATAATTGGAGTGAATGTAAAGAAAATGATCACCAGAAAGGTGTACGAAAAAGATTAGGCAGATGTCGTTTACAGCCTAATGAGATTAGAAAGAACTATGACTACAATTTTGGAGTAAGTGCCATATAACAAATAAGTAATGTTTGAAGATACAGGCTTTATTATCCTCAATTAGATACATAATCTAATTTTCAGATAAAACCAGTGGAGACTTCTGTTAAAACTGCAAAGTCTATGCTATCCGATGGTTATGATATCGCGTGTCGCTCATTAGAACTTAACAATACGGTTCCAAAATTAAGTGAAATCACTAGAAATATTCCAGAATTCGAAGAAGAAGAAGCCTGCAATTTTACAAAAGGAACTGGTATTATTTATTATTATCGCAGAAATCATTCTAGTCTTTATAAAAAGCCAACTTTTATCGTACCAACAGATTTATGACATAATATTAGTACCTATAATAATGTAACAATTGTTTATTTAGCAAAACATAAGGTCACTAAGTCAAAGAATAAAAACAAAACTATGAAACAAGTTGAAGAAAATGGTCACGTAACACTTACATGTACTGATGCAAATCCAAATTCAGAATTAAAATGGTTCAAAGATACGAAATTACTAAATTCTCTATTCAGGTACTTACTTTAATCAAATACAGTGTGTAAAACAGAGGTACTGTCCTTATTTATTTACATTTTAATTATATAAAAGTACATTTTCAGAAATAAAAAATGCAAGAATGAAGAGGAATCATCTCACATATCAGTCGACACTAATAATTCACTACATATTTTACACATCACTAAAAAAGAGGAAGGTAATTACTCTTGTCAGTCAGATGACAAAAAAGTACAAGAATTCGAAATAAAAGTCGTATCAAAGTCGAAGCTGCTAAATCAAGGTGACTTACTTACACATAGTAACGTCACGCCTTTTATTCTCCGAAGAGGTTTTCAAAGCATAAAAGGCGTGGCAGGCTTCTGCCTATTTTTCACAAGCAAGTTGCTAGCTGGCTGTTTGCCGTACCTCCATGTCATATGGCATGGGGCAGTCGCACGTACCAAGACTACACAAGTCACCAATTCCCTGCACTCTACCTACGCAATGTCTTCTTGGATTCTTATTCAACAACTGATCTGTCTGATATCTGAAGTAGGTAGTGTGAAAAATTTTCAGAAAAGGAACTAAGCATTTGGGTGTGGTGTGCAACCACATTCGTATTTGTGTGTGGTTAGTTCCTTTTCTTACATTTTACTTTTTTTTTTTTTTTTTTTTTTTTTTTTTTTTTTTTTTTTTTTTTTTTTTTTTTTTTTTTGCCCCACACTAGGATTTTCTCCTGTGTCGTGGGTGCGTTTACAAACATACAAGTTCACATACACAATGACACCCAGACCCGAAACAACAATTTGTGGATCACACAAAGTGTTGTCCCGTGCGGGAATCGAACCCGCGACACGTTGCATGGCAGCCGGTTGCCCAGCCACCGCACCAACCGTGCAGTCAAACTTCTTATTTATCTATTAGTAACTACCTATATGCGTTGTTTTATTTTTTTAACGTTTGTTATTTTGTAAGATAAAAATTAAGTTGAAAGATATAAGAAAATAAAGAATTGAAAGAGAATATAAATATGTAGTATAATAATATTTATATTTATATGAGACCCCATAATGTTTTGTCTGACCTACGGATTGCATCCGAGACCCCTGGATTAGATTTTATTTGGCTCTTGTCGAAAAAGCAATAAGTTGTTTAGTTTTATTTTTGTATGTAACATAGCAAAATTATAAATGAATAATATCATTTTCATAATCAGTTAAGGTTGTAAAATTCCAGATTTAACCACCGCAAATAAATTATTTTGTTCCAGAATTTATTCGATATTCAATTTATTTAGGATTTGTACTTTCACTGGCAATGGCGTGTTACTGTGCAGGAGTTTGTATTGCTTTTCATCGGAGAACATCGTTTGTGGATCCACTTAGTAAAAACAGAAAAGGCTACGAGCACCACCGTTTTCATTGTGAAAGGGAGAGTTTGCTTAAATAAATAGCTAATCTCTCTAATTAAATAATTACTTGATTTCGTCGATTGGTGGGAGTGATCAGTGATAATGATTCTGAGATTAGTTGATAAGTCTGAAATTCCATAAATTTTTCAACTCTATACTAATATTTTTCGGTTGAAAATTTAAAGGAATTCACAACTTAGCGACTAAAGTTTGTCGTTATCTGTATTGATACTCCACGTTCAGCCTCATGCGAATATTTGTCTGAAACTACAATTATCAAAATAATCAATGCCATGATTATCATAATAACCAATGTTAGGATGATAGTTTTATTGGAAATTAATAAAATCGACTGAAATCATTAAATTACTAATGACACTGACAATTATGCTGGTCCATAGCTGTCTCTCTCGCTGTCAGACTGGTACCAGTCAGTCACTCGACGTTTGACAGCTGACGCGTAACTTGTGGTTGTGAGTGTATTTTTTTGTGAATGAAACTTTGTAGTTTGTACATAAAATGAAAAGTTTTCAAACTTGATCAATATTAATGTTATTATTTTTCTTGGTAGCTATACTATTATTACAAAATGAATTATAGTAACCTGTTTTTGTGTACTATATTCATAATCTTCTTCGTACAGGAAGTTCAAAGTAAGTTTTGCACATTCTTTTTGACACGACTTTATTTATCAAGGTAAAGTGAGAGTTGTTTAACAATAGCTGTCTAGGAATTTATGCAGTGGAAGTTGTTGGTTGGTACGGACATATTGTTAATCACACCTTTCATTGGTAGCCTAATTATCATAGTTATTGGTTCATTGTAATTAGAAAGTTTATTTTCGTAATATGAATTTCTTATTTTACAGGTTTACACAAACGTTGCATAAGATGTAGATCACGAGGAGACATGGGGACATGTGGTGATCCTTTTCCTATAAATGTGACAGAGACTATAGTGGAACAAGGGCTTCATGTTGTGGCATGTCCCTCGGGATGGTGTGGCAAATTACTCGAAGGCACCGTGGGAGCATTTCGTACTGATGGTGAGCTTAAGAATATAATATAACATTAAGAATTATTCTGATTAGAATGCTAGATAATGAAAATAAGACGAATTTTTTGTTTGCATGCCAAAATGTATACAAATATTCTGTAAAAACCCAACCAACCTTTGAATCATACTCTGGACCGAGAGTTTAAAACATAAATACATTTGTTTTACAGACTATGGTACTGCGACTGAGAGAATGTGCCTTCAGAGACCCCCAAGTGATTATGAAGAAAGATGCGCGTACACAATGTGGAATCGCAAGAAGGTTTACATGTGTTTCTGTAATGGTGATCTCTGTAATGCTGCAACTGGAATCTCATCATACCCTCTGACTCTTATAGTAGCAGTAATAATACCAATATTTAAGTATTTTATTTGAAACTGACTTAAGACTATGTGATACATAATTAGTATTCTACATTTTTAGATATGAGATGTTATAATCAGTTCTACCATTCAAATTGAGGCCAAATTGTAAATTGAACCCTATTATCAGCTAAAAGGTCAGAAATGATAGAACAATATTAGTATCATGAAATAAAAATGCAAATAGTAGTACTGAGAATAATGTATAAATGAATATGGGTCATTTTTTACTAGCATTAGATAAGTTTATGTCTTCACATCACAAGTATTGAATAATATTATTTGACTACTATTATCTTCTCTATTTCCTTTACTGACAATCTTTGATAACCAGTCTTTTAAAACACGAGTTCCTTATCAAATTCTAAACTTGTTAAATAATATTTAATTAGTGCATATTAGAATGTATTAGCTGTTAACCCGTGGTATGCCAGAACGTAGATCTACGCAAGACATGTTACATGTTTTCTATTGTGTCTCATATACCGGCTCATATACTCAAGAGGTTAAACAATTAGCAAATTTTTCAAATGCTCAAGGATATATTATGATGGATATATGAACTTCTATTTGTGTACATACTTAAGTTCAATTTCAATATTCTGAAAACTGTACTGTGAGTGTACAGGTGCATCTGCAATAAATAATAATAAGTATTATTATAATATGTATTTGTATTTAAAAAGAGATGTATACTCAATTTACATAAAACCTTTGAGGTTTTCTAGTACTTAAGTTCTATAAAATTGTGTTCAAACCAATCACTGCCTTGTAAACTAAAGGAGTAAATGTATAAATGTTATATACATTAAATTGTATAACTTATATTTTATGAATGTTATTTGTGAGCAAGTTAATAATGGTAGCTGTAGGTCATTAAGGTAGATAGATAATAAAAAATTAAAAGAATTTTATTCATGATGTCCATAAATATACATTCCAATTAATAACTGATAACATTTGTTAGCAATTAGTGCTTAATTACAGTTAGAGTGACATTATTGTGTCGGTATAAAATTGAAAGGAATAATTAGTACATTCTAAAAGAAAAGAATCTCCTTTATCTGTTATTTCTGATAGTATATTTTTATAAAACATGACTGTATTTTTGCTAAATCTTATGTAATCCTATTTTACAAGTTGTCGTTTTTTATGTGATTACCTTAAATTCAAGTACAGGGTTATGTGTAACGAATGTATCGAATATTATTTGTATATATTTGTCTCAATTATATTATTATTATTCTTGTTGAATAAGTGCGGCAGAGATAGGTAACATTATGACATGTATCCTATGAACTTAAGACATTGGTTTGTGAATATAAAATAAAACTCAGTAGATTTAGTTGTGTATAATATTAATGACTTTTTTATTGAGTATTTTTATTGTTGTATACAAATATAATAATAATTGCAATTTTATACGTATTGTTTTATTGGTCGTCGAGGGAATGCTAAGGTCGGTTGTAAGGCCACGTCTGACGTATGCTACCTAATCTATGAGGTTTCAAATTGTTCTCGATTCTAAGTTCCTGGTTGGCGAGGAGTGACTCGATATGAGGTATATCGTCGAAGTAATATAGACCATGGCGGCTTGCCCTCTTGACAGCTGCTATTGCTTCCGATCCTTCTAATAAGTAGGGATCTAAGGATTCGGCATCTGAAAGAAGAAAAGTAAGTAAGAGTATATCTTTCGGTGCCTCATCTGTGTGTTTTGAGGCAAACGTTCACCAAGAACATATTCACAATGTGAACTTCGGTACGGGTTGGCCCGAAAAATGTTTTACCTGATAATACCTCACTGCGGCGTTTGCTAGCAGCAAACCTTGGCGGGTTAAACGGTGGTATGAACAGTCCTTCGGGCCACAGCGACTCGGGGTCGGGCGAGTCTACTTTGTACGGTGATGGTGGGAGTACGGGAATGGCAACATCTGGAAGCATTGAAACTTATCATGTTTGAATTTGAACTGATAACCATTACTAAAGTACCTAATTACGGCGCGAACGACTGTCCTAATCACAGACAAGGTACGCGCTGTTATCTGCTGGGTACTATCCTCACACACAATACCTATGATGAGTCATATCTACCTAACCACATATTAAGTAGAGGTAAATTACCTACACCTCTGCTCTCTGGGAATACAGGCGTGTAGGTAAATGTGTAACGTTATCATACCCATGTAATTATTGTACTGCCAGGGTGATCCATTTATTGAGTTGTCGCGAAAACGGTCTTCGTTGCTGAATGGTATCGTCGGTTTCACTCGCGGGTATCCTGACCCTCGAGGCGGTGGCGGAGCTGAAATGGATGGAGATGTAGTTATCAACTTGACACTCATTATGAAGGTACTTGTGAGCCTGTGTAGCCCATAGTTTAACAAATCAGACTGGATGAAAGACAATAGCGTGGTCTTTGTAGAGTCTTAGGTTTCATAGAAAGTAGGTACCTAGGTACCTCCCTCCTGTTCGTCCGTGCTCACATAACCAAGTGTAAATTAATGTCAAATATAAAAGTTCACACGAAATGACATTTTACTATCACCCCGTCAAGATGACTTGCAAAGTTAGCTATTATACTGTTAACTTTACCTAAGGCGGCCAACCGTCACGTATTCTGCGGGACCGTCCCGTAATGCTAGATGTAATCCCGCTTTGAAATAATTTATAAAATAGTCCCGTAAAACGTTAGATGCGTCCCGCAAGTCCCGCATACCCATACCCATTTCTTTTTTTAAATTTCATACTACACGACACCAACGCGCCCTAACAACAGCGCGAATAAATGGAGACCGGAAAAATCGTCACTACAAGTGAAAACACTACGTGCTCTGCTTGTACTTAAATTTAATATGGGAAGTTGCGAAGATTTTCATGACATACCGACTCAATAAGAATCCTGAACTTGTTAAAAAGTGTCACTCCAGAGATAAATACGATTTTATTAATAGTTAAATAACTATTGTACCTAAGTTTTATGTTTTTATGTATATACCTATGTGTTTTTTAAGGGGGGAAATTATCGAATGAATTCTCCCGCCAGGGTGAGGCGGAAGGGAGTGTCAGACTCTTACTGACTAAAAACGACCCCGTTCCTACTCCTGCACTTCGATCCGATGTATGTAATTGTAGGTGTACCGACTAAACTTTATCTACAAAAAGTCCCGCATTGGACTTTCAGAAAGTTGGTCGCCTTAACTTTACCTAGTACCTACTTACCTATCTATTCCATTAAAAGATTCAATCAATGTAACTTGTAACCTACATAAGTTTGCACCTCAGTTTCTTATGCTTTTTTATTTTTTTACTTTTAGGATGTAGGTACACTACCTACCTACATTATTTATATTAAATAATAATTTGGTCGATTTACATGATCTAGGTACATCAGACAGGCGTATAAAATATATGCTTTCAAAAGTAGGGTAGGTAAGTAAGCTGTTAACCCACAAATCGTACTCAATGGAAACCACATCGAACCGTTCGTTGAATGAATCCTACGTTCATAAACCTTATAAGTACTTACCTATGTATAGTTACTATAGTTAAGGTTCTTTCCTACTTACGCGGTAAGCTTCGGAACGATGATTGTCGGTTGTAATTTCGTTTTGCGAGCAATGGCAGGGGGTCACCGACCCCGTGCGTGAAGCTCCGCGCAGGTGTATTTATGCTGACGTGAGAAGCGAACTTAGTTCCCGCTGACACTTGCACTGCTAGTTGCACCAACAACAGTGCGCCGAATGTGCTCTTGAAAACTGTGTTTGATGACATCTGCAAAAAAATATAATATGCTTCTGTAAGTAAATCAGTTTTAAGACAAAGTTTAAAGGGCACTTTCGAATTTTGATGAATTGATTTCATTTATTTATTATTTATTTATTTCATGATTGATGACTGTTAATGAAGCGAAAGAGGTATGTAAGAATCGTAGTAATTGGCGTTCCTTAGTCTCTGCCTACCCCCATGGGAGACAGGCATGAAGTTATGTATGTATGTATGATTTCATTTAGATGGGTATTTATACATTTATCTGGATATAAGTTACTTTATGCATTACAATAATTTGTTCTTATAAGAACAGAAACATCTAAGTATAGGCACGTAAGTACTTAGTTTATCAGGTCATATAGATACCTAACCATATTGTCATAGGTAGCATAGGTAAGTAACTACCTAAAGAGCTTTAAGAGGACTGTCACAATACCCAGCAAGAGTCCAGGCAGTGACTGATTAAAAGCCCATTATGGTGTCAGGTAATATGAAGTACTTACTTCCTCTTACTTGTGGGACGCTGTTATGTCAGAAGTCATTTGTTGTATCGAGTCGGCAGGCAGAGATCTATGTCCCAGGCATATAAAAATTACATAGGTGTTTTATATTTTTTTCAGTAATGACACATTCTGAAATTATTTCGGTGACAATAACATGACTTAAGGTCTTTACATACACGTGTACTATCTTTCTAGAGAAAATGTAAGATGTTGTGTGAGCAATTACGCTAAACCCTCAAAATTAGACTTCATACAGGGTATTACTCAGTACCTACCTACTCAGCAATAACTGGTAACAACTAGACGAACATAGCAGTTAAACTGTCAAAGGACATTAATTTCATAGAAAATTCGAGTTAAAATTGCTTGATGTCCGATTCGCGTGTGGTCACGGCATATTTCATTCATAAATAATGGCTCTAAATGCGGCTAATACCTCTTTACTCAGTATAACTGTTTCTATTATTGTGGCAATTTGTAACCCCAGAAATCTGTAGGTACTTAATGTAATTTGTAGGTAGGTAACTGCCACGGATTGATATTTTGAAAATACTTATTCGTATTTTATTATAACACTGAATTCCGGTGTGTGCTCAGGAAAAGGATCTTGGATCTAGCAACGAAATAAACCAGAAGATATAATTAGAGCAGCAGAAAAAAAACTATAGTTTTGGGGTGGGTCGTACCATGATTTCCTTAATTCTTGAACACTTCCTTCCTATTTTCACCCACATAATAAACTTCTCGTTATTTCACGGTGTATTTCCCACAACTTGGCAAAAAGCGCACATCATCCCGCTTCCAAAAATTCCTAATCCCTGCCGGGCCAACGATTATAGACCCATTTCTATCCTTCCTTATCAATCTAAGATCCTTGAAGCAGTTGTCCATAGACAAATCTCCTCATATATCTTAAAACACAAATTACTGTCTTCCTTCCAATCTGGTTTCCGACCCGGCCATAGCACTTCTACTGCCTTGCTCAAAGTCACTGAGGATGTGAGGTGTGGTATGGAGGATTCGAGGTTAACTGTGTTAATCTTAATCGACTTCTCCAACGCTTTCAATGCAGTTGACCACGATATTCTCTTGGCCATATTAACTCAATCTGGGGTCTCGTCGTCGTCGCGGGAGTGGTTCTCAGCATATCTTCGTGGTCGCCAGCAGTCTGTTCGCGTTGGTCAGGAACTCTCTGACTGGGGCGGACTGACGGCTGGTGTACCGCAGGGCGGTATACTCTCTCCTCTATTGTTTTCTTTATTTATTAATTCTATTACTAGTCTTCTCACATGCTCTTATCATCTGTATGCCGATGACTTGCAACTATATGCTCAAGCTAGGATTGCGGATATGGGGAGTTGTATCCAACAACTCAACGCCAACTTACTCATTGTGGAAGATTGGTCTAAAAAGTATGGTGTCACAGTAAATGTTGGTAAGTGTCAGGCCATAGTGTTAGGTAGTTCCTACTATCTGAGTTGTTTAAATACTGTTCACCTTGAGCCAATCATATTCGATAAAGTGACCATACCGTTGTCTCCTCATGTAAAGGACTTGGGACTGTACCTGGATAGAGGGCTCAGTTGGAACCACCATGTCACTCAGGTAAGTAAAAGAGTCACTACCACGCTGCGATCTCTCTACAGATTTAAAAACTTTCTTCCACCAAATACAAAAGCGCTGCTTGTTCGGTCTCTTGTGCTTCCTGTGATTGATTATGCTGATGTTTGTTACTCTGACCTATCCCAAGACCTTCTTAACAAATTGGATCGAATGCTCAACAATTGTATCCGCTTTATCTTCGGACTACGTAAATACGACCATGTCTCTTCCTTTCGCGCTCAGCTTAAATGGCTTCCTATCCGTGAGAGGCGATCCCTTAGATCCCTCTGCATGCTCTTCTCTATTCTAAATGATCCTTGTGCTCCCGAATACCTAAAATCTGGCTTTCAGATTTTGGGCAGCTCTCACAGCCGAAATCTCCGTTCAGCTGAAAGTTTGCTTCTAGAGATCCCGTCTCACCACACTTCCTTCGTTTCTAACTCCTTTAGAGTTAGTGTAATTAAATTATGGAATGCACTACCCCATAGTATAAAAATGGCTCCAAACAAAATGGCTTTTAAACGTAGTGTTCGTGAGGCCTATTTAAAGGCGCTACAACGCTGAGTTCGTGTCTTCTTTAATTTATATCTTCGTCAATTTATATTATATTATAATTATATATATGAAGTTATTTATGTATGTACATATTTTGTGTTTATTATATATTTTTATACAGTATGTTATACAGTATTTATTATTATTATTACTATTAGTTATTTATTTTGTTTTTTTTTTTGGATATTACACAGGCCCATTTTCGCTGAGCTTACATTTAACCCAAAGGTTGACTGGGAGAAAATGCCATATGGCATTAAGTCCGCCTTATGTACCTTATTTTGTGTGCATTAAAGTGTAAAATAAATAAAATAAATAAATATAGTTTTCACTTCCCAAGTATTAGTAAGTATTTATAAAGATTATAGACTGCCTCGTTGGCCGAGTGGTCGCAAGTGCGACTGCAAGGGGTGTCGGGTTCGATTCCCGGGTCGGGCAAAGTATTACTGGGATTTTTCAATAAAATCGGAAATGTGACCGGTATATGACAATAGGCTCACCCCCTATTACATGGGACTCGTAACATAAATAGTAAAAAGTGGGTATTACCTCTGTGTGCACCTCTGCCTACCCCTTCGGGGATAAAAGGCGTGATGTTATGTTTATATGTATGTTTATGTTATAAAGATTAAAAGTGTCTATAGATCTAGGTATTATTATTATGGAAAATGCGAATGCATAATTTTATGCTTTCTGAAAAAATATTTGAATACATCCAGCTGTAACTAATGGTGTCATCTAATTATTTAGGCGTGTCGTTAGCTATCTAAAATACCAACCACAGAACATCACTAATAAAATGTGTCTAGAAAAAAGCTCTTTAAAAGACTATATTTATGGGAATTTATTGGCGATTACGTTTATATTAAGTAGGATAGGTCTCTACTTGTTTGACTGTAGATATTTAGTACCTATATCTGTGGACACAAACAACATATTAAGTCGTCGAGTACCGGTTTTGTAGACACAATTATAGAACAATAGGTTGCGGTCACCGGTGACCGCTTGGTGTTTGACAGTTTAATTACATACGTTTATGTAATCCACCATGCCGAAGTGTTATAGAATGACATAATAAAGTTCTATACAACTTGCTAAGTGGGTGGGTACTGTATAGGCAGTATAGGTCGATCGATTACCTACTGACTGAGCTAGCGCTCTGTGGTGAAAGATCTTTTTGTTGGACACTTCGTTTACGTAATGATTAGTAATATTCTCATGAATAATGGTCTGCTTGCTTGTCACAGTAGCCATCACATATTATAATATTATGTTTAGTTGTTAACACATAACATTTTACTTTATTTTCAGAGCTTTGTTTTAACACAAGACACATTTTGTGGATTCTAAATAATTTTCCAATTGCCATTTTAAAAACTCTTCTAAATGTTCGTCGTAAAGAAGAAAGAAGATCACGCCCTTGATGGTTTTGTTTGGACCATTTTAAAAGCTGAAGCAACAGAACTTATGAGATCATATTTCTAAGATGATGATAGGCTAATGTTTTTTGAGATAGGTAAGTTAATAAATCACAGATTCAGCGTGTTGAAAACTTTCTACCTAGTTCATTTACAGTTATCGATAACTTAATGGGTAACATAAAAAGTACCTATAGCATCTAACAAAAAACCAATTTGGTGGCACAATTCTTTGCTAGTCGCCACCATGCCCACCATATCTGATCGCTACAAAGAAAATTCATAGTCATCATGAAACAATGTTTTAATAGGCTGCGGCACAGTGCGTTAATATAGGGTTCTAAGGCCTGATGAGCAACATGCCAACAATGGTATACTTATACTAATATTTAGATTACCGTCGGTCCATTTAGACGTGCAGCGTGCTCTCACGCTGGCGCGGTTGCATCACAATGACTGTCGTTTGAATTGGACCTGCGCCGGAGTACTGAGCGGTGGCGAAACGAAGACGAGCGAACATTTCATCTGGTTGAGGGACCTGCTTGTACTGGCTTTTATTGTTTTGAGCAGATAACGGGATGTGATGAGAATGTTACTGCGTTTGAGAGAAAGAAGAAAATGCCAAAATTGTGTTTCATATATTTTGAACATGACGTGAAACATTTTAATTGGTACACCGTCCAATCTATACTTAATATTATAAAGAGGAAAGGTTTGTATTTTTGTATTTTTGTATGTTTGTAATGAATAAACTCAAAAACTACTGGACCGATTGCAATAATTTCACCATTAGAAAGCTGCATTATTTAGAAGTAACATAGGCTATATAATATCACGCTAGGTCCTATAGTTGTGGAGCAGTAACCAAAAATGTTTTAAAAACGGGGGAAAAGTATCGTTTCTGAGGCCTTCCGTGGCGTGCGCT